AGAATACTTTGAACATATTAAATCTAGCCACAGGGTCTTCCTTCTTCTGAAGATACTATCCAGAATGGCTTCATATAGCAAAATAAAATCTTACACTGTGGAAAACTTTAATTTATTAAGACCAAGCCAAGCAAAATTTCGAACTGTTAATCCTTATGAAATGTACAGGTTTTAACAATACACTTTTTCTTGTAAGATAATGGTAATGAAGTAATATTGCATAGATTATGATAGTTGTACTTAACAAATGATCTTTCTCCACCCCATTCCTCATTATGATGGAAGCCTTTTGATTAGAATAAGGAGCAAATGTTGTCTTTCATTTTATTACCTTTTACTTAGCTGATCCTAACATAGAAATTATGTCCCTGAGGGGAATATCATTAATGAAAGAAGAGCAAATAGAATTTCTGCAAAGAGAACTAAAATAGAAAGAATCTAGGAATCAGATGAGGCCTGAAGGTCATAGAAATTAAAAGAGAGAGAGGTTGTTTTATCAAAAATTGTTTTCTCTATCTTAAAAAGGGAAAAAAAAAGTTTTTTTTTTTTCCTCTTTGTCTCTGAAACACCTTCACTCATGTTTTAGAGCTTGTATATTGCTTACAATTACAAATTGAGTTGCTGATACTTCTTCTGATCCTAGTATATTTTTAAGAAACACAAACAGCAAAGTATCAGACTGAAAATCAGATGAAAATATGAAAGGAATTAAAGGGGTTGAAAACTCTAGATACCACCACCACCACCACCACCATCACCATCATCACGATCATCATGATCATGATCATCATCATTTCTTTGGTTCATTGTTTAAGCACTATATGTTACCCTACTAAATTTACATTTAATGACTTAAATTCCTGATGATATTATTTTATCTTCAAGTATCCAATGTGCAGACTGTTTTTATTTTCTGTATATTTAAACTAATCTTAACTAGGGAAAGTAACCTACTCTTTTTGCAGCAAGGAGTTAAGAAACACAAGCCCTTTTCATTATAATGAATATATTCCTTTTAAATATATTTAACATTTTCTAAGCATCTATTGTATATAAAGTGCTTTTCCAAATATTTGCGTACATTTATATAAATATTCCCACATCTTCTAAATGAGGATATTGAAAAATTAGGTAATTTACACAAGGTCGCACAGTAAGTGACTGAGCTGGCATTGAAATTGTCTGTTACTAAAATATCTGGACTCTTCCCACTGTATTCTCTACCACCCCTAGGTATCTAATCCTCTACAGTTTCAAAGTAAATTTTGCATTACTGGCTTTGTTTCAGCAGGTAGAGGTTTTAATAGATGCTTGAATATTCTAACTACATGGCTATTCCATACCCCTACATTCATTATCTTTAGAAAAAGAAATAAATTTTCTAAACTAATTTCTCTACAGGCATATATTTTTAAAACATGGCAGGCACAACATAAAGAATATGGGAAATGTGAAAAATCAGACACAGAACAGAAACCAGTGTGATATAAGTTATCTCTGTATAAAATAAGCTATAAAGTAGCTGTTATCTGCATGACTTGCTAGAGACCTTAGTTGTCACAAAAGATTAAGTGGTTAACTACTACTGAAAAGTTGATAAGTAGAACCTACCCAGTGGTCCTTCAGAAGAATGTCCTGGCAAAAACCCTATGGAGTACAGTAGGACTCTGCAACATATGGGGCTGCCATGAGTCTGAATCAACTCAACAGCCACTGGTTTTGTTTTAGGTATACTATAGGAAAACAATCCTTATGACTTAGATTTATGACCCGACCCTGACATGGCCATGGAGTCAATTCAGACTCACAGTGACAGTATGGGACAAAGCAGAACTGCCCCATAGGATTTCCAAAGCTGTTAATCTTTACAGAGGCAGACTATCTCATCTTGTTCCCTCAGAGCAACTGTTGTTTTCCAACCATCAAACTTTTTGTTTACAAATGAATGCTTTAACCACTGTGCCACCGAAGCTCCTTAGTTTTATGATAGTGCTGTGATAATCACAAATTTCATCTAATGTCAAGTAATGTCTCCTAATGAAAAGCTACCTTGACACAAAATAAGTTTATGATAATACGGAGAGTACTATTTTATGCAAGTAAAATTCTCCTGTAAAAGATTAATTACTTATTTCCATGCACATGATATTAAACTTCAATATTTCAAGGCCCATATAAAACTGCAGAGAGTGAATTCAATTCACACAAACAGTTTACCCTTAAGTTGCAAGGGAGTTCTTAATGATCTAATCAGATAATTTATATTCTAAATAGAGTATTTCTACCTCACAGAAATTTATCAAATACTTTCAAAAGCTCATGTAGAGTCTTTTAAAAAAATCAAATACATGAGCTAAAGGGGCAAGGAGGCCACATGTTCTGACCTCCTCTAACCCCACAAGAGAAAGACAGAATCACCATCAGTAGCCTAAGGCCTATTCCTGCGAGGCCAGACATGTTGCCTCCCTCCAGCTCTTTCACCAACCCTGACACCAACGTCCCTCCCACAGCACCCACCACCACTCTGCTGGGTTCAATAATTTGCTGCAGCAGCCACACAGAACTCACAGATTATGGGGCTTTGTTAGGGAAGCAACAAGATACAATTGAAGTTGAGCATCACGATCAGTCTCTCTCAGCTCACTGTCTTTCAGCTGAAAGTCTCTCGCAGTTTCTCAGCCAGCAGTGAGTGCATGTCTCTCCATGTCTCTCTCAGCAGTGCGTGTCTCTTGACGTCTCTCTCAGTAGCACGTGTCTGTCATGTCACTCCATGAGAGATTCCTTCTGCCTCCAGGATGGCTCCTTTTGAGCCTGGCAGAGTGGCCAAACCAATCAATCTCAACATCAGAATTATATACACCTGAGAGCAAACTTCCCAGAAAATTACTTTGGGCTGCTCCCAACAGAAATACCCCAGGTGGATAACTTTAATAATTAGTAGCTACTCAATTGCTCACAGCCAATTCCACCAGGGATTTTACAAAGGTTTATGGCTAGCAAAGCCATACTATGATACCACCTGTTTTGGTTACCCAGTGCCACTCTGACAAGAATATACCACAAACAGGATGGCTTAAACAAATAAGAGTTTGTTCTTACAATTTGGAGGCTTTAAGTCTAAGTTCAAAGTGCCAAGCTCTAGGGGCTGGGTGAAAGCCCCTCAGCCTTGGGCTTCAGCTCTGCCTCCAGCTCCCGGCCCACTGAAGCTACAGGCTTTTCTTCACTCAGACAGCTGCTGGCTGCTGAAGTTGAAAAGGCCAAGGTTGACAAATAAAATGGCACAGTCCTGATATTACCAAACCACATGGTAACATCCATTAATTCAAGTCCATTGTAAGTCCCAAGGTTGGCAGAGCACGGCAGTCTGCTGAAAAATGACACAGCCACATGCAAGGTTCAAGCATGCTGTAAGCTAGAGACCATTCCCCAAGGCTGCTTATATACAGGAAGCAGACCACATTCCCTAAGGCAGCTACTCAGCTGCTCACAGTAGATTCCACCATGGAGTTGATTACCAGTCTCATCATGGGGAATACTACATCCTGCTGCCCAACCATTCAACCGGGCTCAGCCAAGTTGACACACAAACTGAACTACCACACCACCTAACACAGGTGATTAAATATTTAGTAAAAATACATGCATATGTACACATAATATTTTCCAATGCTTCAACCACTGTGCCACCAGATTTCTGGTAGATCGGAGGCAGCATAGATTATACATGGTGAGGTAATGAGTCTTCCACAACAAATGAGGTTTGATAAAACAGCCTCTCTGATCCAAATTACACTATGATTTTGGCAAAATTAGTATATTACTCAATAAAATATACTGTATTTGTCTGTATTTCCTTTTGGAAATGTCTTTTTGAAACTTCTAGCAAGGCTGCCTCTATTCACATAGAGACAACATTGATAGAAGCTTCAAAAAGACTTTGATACATTTGGTACAAAATAGTCACTTAAGAAAAGTCATCTGAAAAGTTTGTGAAGATTTTCAGTAATTCTTTAATTTGTAACCAAGAATTTCTTTAACCCAGGATTAAACAAAATGTGTTACAGAAGTGGAAAAACTCACCTTACTATACCAGAAGCCCACATTCTGATGTTTAAGGGCTTTTTCTATTTGTCTGTTTTTTAAGATTGAAGACTGTGATGATTAAGGTCAACTTGGCTAGGCAGATATTATGTAATCATCCTCCATTTTGTGATCTGATGTAAACAGCATATTGGTTGAAATGGGAGTTTCCTTGGAGGTGTGGCCTGCATCCGATACATTTGGATGTTCTGGGAAAGCTCTTTCTCTCTTGATCCTGCATCAGAGTCTTCATTCTCTGACCTCAGGTCCTTGGCATGTGAGCCTGCCATCTGACCTGAAAAGTTTGGGATTTGCCAGCTCCTACAACCCTGTGAGCCAGCAGCCTGCTGTGTGATCTGCTTATTTTGAGCTCATCAACACCTAGAACCACATGAATCAGGAGAAACCTCTGGCCTGGTGTCCCATCCATCAATTTGGGACTCATCAGGCTCCATAACTGCATAAGCCATGACCCTGAAATTTCTCTATCTATTTGTATTTCTATACATATATTTGGATTTCATTTTCCCCTGCTTGAGTTAAGCTAGATAATAATATCCAGATAATATTTAAAATAATCTTATGTTTTAAGTATGTATTAGATTAAAATACTTAAATGTCTTTATACACTAGAAAATGTAAAGGTGTCATTAATAAGAGAAAAATAACTATAATGAAGCAACTAAATGCCAATCATTGCATGTTAACTCACCTGTAATTCAAATGCCACACATTAGTGAAGTTGTACTTGATGTTTTTCATCTAGAACATGTTTAGAAGAATTAGTGATCAATTAAAAATCCTTCCCCACTTTTTGTCTTTATTTCTCATCTTGACTATAAGATTGGTTATACCGCCATCAGGTTTAGTAAATCAACTGAATACATTATACTTAAATTATGAGTGAAAAAGTTATTTACCTGCATGGAAATCTATTCCAACAGCAAATGAAGTTCCTGATATAGGCATCAAAGCATCCATTTTGTCACTTGGTTCAAGAGGTATTCCCCTGATTCCTTCATGCACAGAGTACATAAGAAAGGATTCTATGCCTAAATTGGGGTGGGAGGAAAGTCAAAATGAATATTTCAAATTAAAACTAATTTCATTAATATTACTTTAACATTTTTTTATTTTCATAAAATTTTTTCTTATTTTTTTTAAGAACATAGACCACAATTTGTGACCAGCTGATGGGTAGATTAGTAGTTATCAAACTTGAGGATACATCAGAATCACCTAGATTTATTAAAGCACAGATTCTGAGCTCTACTGCCTGTTTTGTATTTAGTGGGTCCTGATAATTTATATTTCTACAAGCTCTCAAATAATGACTATGCTACTGGTCTGAGGAGTACATGTTCTTAAACACTGAAGGAGATCATTCTTCAATGCATATCTGGTTTCACAACCAAAATTGACTGGATCTACTCTAAAACTCAATTACCTCACGGTTATATATGAAATTAAACTCTGATTTTGGATATTTTTTGTTTTTCTCTATTATTTTTTCTCTAATTATACCAATGCTATTTTTTATGGCTTAAATTTCCAAGGGATAGTTAGACTTTTTATATCCTTTGAATATTAAGGAAAAAAAAAAACAACTAAATACATATTTTTTTTGTTAATAATATCTGCTTTTCCAATATCAAAATCATGTTGTAAAATAAGTGTGTGCATGTGTATATACATTACCAGAAACCAACATGTTGATGCTTATGGATTTGTCTAATAGAAATTATCTTTATACACACATTTTCTAACTAAAACCAGAGTGTCTAGGTTAAATATGTCCCTACTTATGTGACTTGGGCAAGTTAATTAATCTCTATGTGTCTCAGAATCCTCATCTGTAAAATGGGATAATGACAGGCTTATCATAAAAGGGTATGATAAGGATAAAGTGATCTAATATGTAAAAAAGTTTTTATAACAGTACTTGGCACATGTTGCTGTTGTTAAGTGCCATTTAATAGGCTCTGACTCATAGTGATCCTACCTACAACAAAACAATCCTCCAGAATCTTCACAATCATTTCTATGTTTAAACCTACTGTTGCAGAGACTGTGTCAATCCATTTCACTGAGGGTCTTCCTCTTTTTCACTGGCCCTCTTCTTTAACAGCATGATGTCCTTCTCCGGGGACTGGTGCCTCCTGATAACATGCCTACAGTATATGAGATGGAGTCTCTCCATCCTCATTTCTAAAGAACATTCTGATTGTACTTCTTCCAAGATTTGTTGGTTCTTCTGGCAATCTTGTTTATTCAATATTCTTTGCCAACACAATAATTTAAAGGCACTGATTCTTCTTCAGTATTCCTTACTCATTGTCCAGCTTTCACCTGCAGATGAGGTGACTGAAAATTCCAATGCTTGGATCATGTGCACCTTAGTCCTCAAAGTGCTATCTTTGCTTTTTTGACCTCTTAAGGAGATCTTTTGCAGCAGATTTGCTCACTACAATACATTGTTTGTTTTCTTGATGGCTGCTTCTATAGACACTGATTCTGGATCCAAGTTAAAAGAAACCCTTGATAATTTCAATCTTTTCTCTATTTATCATGACATCCCGTTGTGAGATCTTTTGTTTTCTTTATGTTTAGATGTAATCCATACTGAAAGCTATAGTCTTTGATCATCAATAAGTGCTTCAAGTCTTCTTTGTTCTCAGTAGGCAAGGTTGTGTCATCTGCATATAACAGGCTGTTAATGAATCATCCCCCAATCCTGATTCAGTGTTCTTCTTCATATAGTGATGCTATCAGATTATTGTTTTACATACAGATTGGATAAGTATGGCAAACACATACAACCCTGATGCACACCCTTCCTGATTTTAGAACACACATTATCCTCTTGTTCTCTTTGAATTACTGTCTCCTGGATTATGTACAAGTTTCTCATGAATACATTTAACTGTCTGGAATTTTCATTCTTTGCAATGTTATCTATAATTTGTTATATTCTGCACAGTCATATGTCTTTGCATAGCCAACAAAACACAAGTAAACATATTGCTGGTATTCTTTGCTTTGAGCCAAGGTCCCTCTGACATCAACAATGATATCCTTTGTTCCATGTACTTTTCTGATTCTGGCTTGGATTTCTATCAGTTCCCCGTGGATGGACTGCTGCAACCATTCTTAAATTCAGAAAAATTTTACTTGCCTGTGATATTAATGATTTTGTTTGATAATTTCTGTGTTCTGTTGGATCCCCTTTCTTTGGAATGTGCATGGATCTTTTCCAGTTGCTTGGCTGGGTAGGGGTCTTCTACACATAGATGAATGAGTGGTTCCAGCTTTGCATCTACTTGCTGAAACCTCTCAATTGGTGTTCTGCCAATTCCTGGGGTCTTGTTTTTCACCTACAGTGCAGCTTGGGATTTTTCTTTCAATAGCATCATTCTTGATCATATGCTACCTCCTGAAATAGTTGAAAGTCAATCAGTGCTTTTTGATACAGTGACTCTGTATATTCCTTCAATCTTCT